GTATAAAATTACAAAAGAAAATGTTTTTATCCTTTGATATTTTTGGATATTTTGAAGAATAATGTCATTTTTCGATGTTTCTTTTTTTAAATGTCAATTTTGACAGGTTAAGGAAATCACGTGACCTATTTTGTAGACGCCATTTGACATCATTTCTTAAGCAAAATCTACTGCCAGAATCAAATTTCACATAAAACGATAAATAAAAAAGTTTCCCATTTGATGCGGACTTTATCGGTGACACTGTATGTGAAATGAATTGGAAAAAGTGATTTCCGTATAAGCTCAATGCTCATGAAAGTAGTTATTTCGGGAAGGCCTCTTCTTCGGGTGTATGTCTGAAATTAACTTAAAGGCAGTATCTACACATCACTGTGAAGAGTTTATTCAGAATGCAATTGCTTTCTTTCTCCCTTTGGAAATTCTCCTCAAATTTTTATATGAATCTAGAAAAGTGAAAAACAAAATATTTTTCCCTAGATATTGATAATACATTCAACACCATGAGCACCATTTCAGGTTTCGTGAGCTATCAATAATCTTCTATTCTATGTTACAAATGTTTTTTCTATTCAGAAATTTACAGCACGTTGAGTTTCAACCGACATCAAGTATTAAAGTATTCTGAAAAGTTCAAGAGATTAGGTATATGTAACCGTCAGAGCCATAACTGTGGATACGTGCAAACGAAACAATTTTTAACTTTGTTTTATGATTTTCGCTCCTTGTATTGTCCTTCATGATTATTACTTCATGAACATTTGAAAAATATATTAGTTTTACGACCAACTCAGCGAAGCCGATGGTTCAGAATTATTTGTGAGCTCTGGGATTTGATACTAGCTTGAAGAGAAAAGTAGACTGGAGTTTAAAAATTAAAATAAATATATTCTCAGAAATAGGTTTTTGTGAAGAAGTCAATGTTTTGAAAAAAAATCAGTATTAAAATTTTAAATCATCTAAAAGAACATGTCGTTCAAGCCAGTCTCAACACCCTACACAGTACGTTAATGGACTGACACATATCGACACATATCGGACAACTACTCCCCTGGCTAATACCACGAAGGACGTTGGATTATATCCGACAGGTGCCAGTGCAAGATTCTTCACTGAAGTTATTCCTGCATATGCTGTTGCTGCTGCCGAAGTAGATTTTCAATTATTGTAACACATTTGCAGACCGGTTTCGGGCTGTTTGGCCACTCGTCAGTGCAAGGTAGTGTATATCATCAACATAAAGTCGATGATTTCCGATAATTGAAGATCGAATTCCGTCAGAGTATCATTCCTCGTACTAAGCTGAAGCATACAACAAACAACAGGTTTGTCGTCGCCCCATCTGCCTGTGAACGAGGTAACCAACTGCATATCCGAAATTTGCCCAATTTTCTTTTCATTTTCAGTTTATACACAGGGAAAGATCTTTCAAAAATGTCTGTCATAGTATTATGAAGAACAAGTAATAGTTCTTCATCATCTAGCATAGGAACTATTCCAGTTGATTATTTCACAACATCCTCTGAGTTTATTGTTGTTGTTTCTGCTATAAATTCTACCATATCTGTGATAACACGAGTGTTTGATTTTCATAAGTACCTACTTTTACACATAAAGCCTAATGGTCTGAAAGACCGGAGAAAACAACAGAACACAGAACATTCGCTTCATCTAAATTTGAGCACGAATAATCAGAGAAGGTAACCACTGGAAGTATTTTCATTTCAACATACGTACAATACTTCTACGCAATCAGTCATCATCTCTGGAGTTATACTGATCTAAATGACACTGCTGGAGAGCTAATACTCCAGAGGCAAAGGGATGATAACGAAACCTAATTACAATATAATACTCACATATGATACCTCAGCACTTCATTTTTTGATGCTATTGGTTTTTCCTTCAACAGATACACTTTCGTGGAAATGTAAAATTGTTTTAATAAATAGTCATGTCGATTTGTTCGGTGAGTTGTGAATTTTTCCTTATCAATATCCAAAAAAAGTAAATAACCTGAGCTCATGTCCCTGTTTCCACATTTGAAAAAATATTTAGTAAGGGGGAGTTATTCAATTCTAATAGATCATTCAGTATATTACCCAAATTCCTGAATCTATTTACTTCTAAAAATTCTAGAAGACTGAAATTCAAACTCTTCTCTTCTAAATGTAACACATCATATTCATGATTGAACTCATGTCCTTCTGCTAAAAGGTGGTTTGCAAATGAGGAATTGGTCTTTCTATCCTACTACTACTACGCTTTACTTCTATGCTCTTCAATTCTTTGGGAAAATTTTCTCTTTAATTGGCCAATATACATTACAATAGTCGGCTTATATACTCCTGATCTATTCGACAAAGAAGTTTTGTCTTTATTGTTTTTAATAAATTCACTCAAGATTATTATTCGTTCTGTATGCTACGTTTACGCATTCTTTATTCAAAAAACGGGCAATATTATTGGTTGGTTCACCCAAATATGACAAAGTCCTAGAATTGACGTTATCGCATCTTGAATTTGGGTAGACCAGGTCCATTGCTTGCTTTTGGAGTTTTTTGGTGAGAATGGAGTCTATAATATCTACCTTATAAACGTTGTTATTCTCTCTGGAAATCACTCTCAGACAGTGGAATATTCAATAGTCTGTGCAGCAACTTTATGCTGGTGAGGATGTGTGGAGGAATAATGTATGATAATGGTTTGTGAAAAATTGCAAATGCATGTTTATTGTTATTTTTCGTAATGGTCAAGTCTGGGTGAACCAGCCAATGATATTGCCCGTTTTTTGAAGAAAGGAGGAGTATATAAGGTGTCTTGCGGCTCTTGCCCAGAACTGTATATTGGCCAAACAGGGGGAACATTTTCCCAAAGAATTAAGGAGCATCGAAGTAGTTTTGTAAATAGAAAGACCAATTACACATTATCGAACTACCTTTCAGCAGAAGGACATGAGTTCAATCATGAATACGATGTGTTACATTCAGAAGAGAATAATTTGAAAGTTAATCTTCTAGAATGTTTAGAAATGTTGGTCTTGCTCGGCTAAATCTTCCAGTATGCAGGAAAATGATTTTGAAAGATAGTATTTATTGGTATGACTGCGAAAATAAATTGAGCAATTCGAAAAATTGTTTTCCCTGATAGCAATGAACCGAGGGAATCTTGTTGACTCACCCTGTATTTTCGAACGCGTTCACAATAGTCGAACGCATACTCAAACCCCTCAAAGATTCTATATATTTTGTGACCTATGAATCTGACCACTTTCGTTCCATGAATGGCTTACCGCCGGTATTTGATTTTTTGTGGTACTTTTGGTAAACGTTTGTTAATTTTAGAATGTCCAAACTTTTAGATTTTTGACAAAGTAAGATCATCTTCTGTAAGAATAGCTAATTGTTTTATTCTTGGCATTTGGATGCCAACTCACGTTGGCATCACTTGTTGAATTCAATTTCTTATTAAAAACCGGATTTTACTGATTTGAATCTTGTCTTCTTTGTGAAACCATATAGTCTAGTTCACATTTACTTTTTTTTGTAACATTTTTCAGCCCTGTCCAAAAATTACGACCAAGGTGTCATTCGATTTGTATTTTTGCCTAGAAAGTTTAAGGAAAGGTCCGAAAACGCGCCGATAAAAATTGGCTTTAATTTTTCTTAATATCTCGGAAAATTTTCAAAATTTTTGGAATTCGAAAGATTTGAAAAGATTAATGAATTAGCGTAAAAAAAGTTCCGGTCTCCCGAAACTGTATCTCGATTATTTATAATTTTTACAGAGCCCTGAAAATAGAGCCAAAAGCGGGTAGTCTGGCTTCC